CTGTCAATGAGTTCTTGAGTCCGCGGTTTTCTCCATGTCCGCTCTGCTCAACATCACAATGTCTTATAATTCTATGTGTCTTATACTTCCATCTTATACTACTCTCCATCTGTCTTTTGACAAGATCAAGCAACATAAGGACACATAGTTAAATGGAGTTAATCTTGTCGATTTAAGATCCTTTTTGGTTGCTATATAAAGACTTGCCTTGTTTCTGCTGCGTTTACTAATATATGTCAAAAAAAGTGCAAACTTTGTCGTTTCTTCTGAAATCCCATTGAATTTATTGAAGCCAATTAATTATTTAGAATTTCAGTATCAGTAAATTTAAGCGAAACCAGAAAGTTAAACTAAGAATAATATCGATCAATATCTTCTGATCTCCACAAAGCGAAGGACTGCAATATAAAGTATGGTAACAATGTTTGTTAGCTTGAATGGTTTTTACATTGTTTGTGTTTAATCCTTGGAGGCGTCTCTCTGTGAAGGGGTCAGCTAGGATCCTGGTGATCGCAGCAGCTAATCGGCGTAGCGGCTGCTGAAAAAGTTGATCTGATCTCCGACCGGGAGATCTCTGCTCTGAAGCCTTTGACACCCGAGAAGGTTCGTCCTGCCAGCGAAAAGAACTCACGATTCTAAAGTATGGTGCAGAGAGTAGGGCTTTGAGCTTGTAAAGAAGGTCCTCATGCCAGACCTTGCCTGTTTTACGTCGAGAAACACTCCAACGTAGTATTCAAATGGTTGACTACCCGGTGGAGCTGATCCGGGTAGCCGTATGAATTTCTAAGGCCAAGCTGGTGGTTCTGTACCAGACGCGTGACCTGGTCAAGCTCCAGAAGTCTGCCTAATAGAAGGCGCTCAAAGACTTTTGACGATTTCACGTTTTTTCAGTGCCAAGCATGAGCTTGGAGTTGAAGATTAGCGTCAGCGCCAAGATGTCCTTGACTGTGCCAAGTGAAAGGTCTTGAAGGTCGCATCCAGTTGGTCAGCAAATGCATTCGCCTTCTCCACGTCCGAGGGAAGCCAGAGGAGAGCTAGGAATGTGAATGTGAATCCTTGTGAATTCCCACACAGACAAGGTGCTTTTGCCGTCATGTCCAGCTCTTTCTAGGCTGCTGTCTAGATTTTCCCTGCTGACCTTGTCCGCCTAGGCAGAGGGAAAGCTGTTGCCTAATCAGACGCCTTTTTTGTCCGCAAGGAGACGACTGGCTTCTGGATCTCTGTATACTCTAAGATAACCTGATACATCCAACATTTTGTGTCTCGCTCGACTCGAATCTTTATGCTGACAAAGGATGTACACACTATATGGGGTTATAGATACTTCCTTCTCCTTTCATACATTCGCTATTAACTAAAAAAAATGTGGCAAATATATATAAAAAACATTTAAAACAAGTTCGCAGCTTTGATCTGTGAAGAGTACAGGGTATCTTATAGTTGCGTTCAATAGATTTTGATGTTGGTTTTTGCCTTTTGGTTTCAATTATATTGAATAGGCGAAATCAACTGGCTGAGCTAAATGCATAAATTCCGAAAATGCCTGATGTCATTTTCAAAAAGTGGTTAATAGCATTAGTCTAAACTAAAGTCATAACATAAACATAAACACAACATAAATTCCAATCAATGTGAAACTAATGTGCTAATGACAAGGCAAAAGAGTTGCCAAGCTCAATAAATTTCGCGGCCCGAGACATTCCCATTCAAGTGCCGATATAATCGAGAGATCCATAAATGATGTCATGCCATCTAAGCTCTCGTTAATGTGGGCGCCCTCTTCTTCTTCTTCTGCTTCTTCTTGTTGTTGTTTTTGTTGTTGTTGCCATATCTTACACTAACAGCTTTTTTCATCACTAAATTTGATTTGCCGCTGCTTTTGTTAATTGTTTACATTCCGCCTTGGGCATTCAATAAAAAAAAACACACAGCAAAATATATCGCAAGTGACAAACACACACTAATACACACACAGAGAGAGAGAGAGAGATATAGACTGAGATGGCAGATTTGATATTAATTGCAAAATCATGCAAATCAGCAAACAAATTATATGTGCTTGAAAACGAACAGAGACCAAGATGGAAATTAATTGCCAATATCAACGCATTTGAACACAAAAAGTATGTTCGATTTCTTTAAGTATAGTAGCTGCAAATGCTTATAGATGTGGCCGATTGTTGTTGGTTTTTGTTGTTTCCTTCAGATTTGTTATTAATTAACAGTCATTTATTAAAAAAACGCAGAGTCGGAAGAAATCGAATAATGCGAATTCATAGACACTGCGGCTGCTTTGTTGCCCCCTTTTATTGATATCTAATTAATATGCATCAATTTTTCAAATCGAAATAACCATTGGAAATCGAGACAATGGCAACCAGAAAATATAACTAAATTTATGGGCGCATTTAGTGTACAATACTAGACAGATTACACTATATAATATATCTCTATAGTCTTTGCCGATTTTCAAACGGAGCAAAAAACAAAACAAAAAAACTAAGTATGATTGTCTTGATCGTAATGTGAGCTCTTAAGAATACACGCAAGTGTTTTTTCATTGATAGAACTATAGATCCAAGCTAGAATATCTGTCAAGTAAATTTCCGATCTATAAATATGATTGTCTGGATCATAATGAAAGTTATTAAGTATACACGAAAAGTTTTTACAAATATATAATATATAAAATGATAGACCCATTGATTGAAGCTAGAAAATGTTTGTCAAGTGTTTTTACCTATTTACTTTTTTTTTTATAAATGTTTATTGTATTGGATCAAAAAAGCATACATAAAAACCTGGTAAATTTCCGATCCATAAGTATGATTATCTTGAACATAATGTAAGCTCATGAACATGTTTTTTCATATATAGTATATTTTTATTGGTAGGAAGAATCTTACTATATGATAGACCTATTGATTGAAGCTAGAAAATATTTGTCAAAAAGTTTTTACCTATTTACTTTTTTTCTTTTATAAATGTTTATTGTATTGGATCAAATATAGCATACATTTTCGCCAAGCCTGGTTGGGTCCTCAGTCTTTTCTTATTTACAATGTAGCTAATATGTTTTACTATCTCTGTCTATAATTGTCAGCCCAGCGAAGGGTTTCCGCTATTAGTCTTGTATAGGATGTTTTTAAATGATTTTAATTGCAAATTAACTCATTAGGCAGCCAACACGATGGCTACTTACAATGTAGCTTCAACTTTGTATCTCCCCCTGTGCAGAGCGCTGCTGTCGATGCTCACCCACCCGGAAACAGGTCTCGAAAACATAATAATCAAGTATAAACTGCACTTAGGCCGAAGACAGCTTGCAGGCTGTTATTTTGTTGTTGCCGAGATATTCCCTCAGCTCGAATACTCCTCTATAAGTGTGCATATAGTGTAGTGTATAGTTATGTATGCCTTTCGGTTGATTAAAAAGTAAGTGCACGAGGCGCATGCATCGGTTAATTGTAAATTGGGGCGCATTTTGCAGCGCTTGCTGCAGTTGCGGGCTAAATTATAATTCCATGTTCACAAGCACATTTGCACGCACTGTAATTTACTTAAGCATTCTGCCGCTATCCGTATAATCACCAGCTGCCTGCCCGTCCGTCTGTCCGTCTGTCCGTGTGTGCGAAACTCATAATTTAGCTGGCACGCCTATTAACAACAGCCCAAGTTGCTGCAACAGCCTCATCAGCCATCGTCCATCGTCCATCAGCCATCAGCTTTCGGCCGTGGAGTGCGAGGCATTGTTGGGTGGCATCGCGTCAGTTGCTCCATCAACAGCAGCGCAACGTGCCGACACAATATAAATTATATTTAACATGCATTAGCGCATCTTCGGCTTGGACTCTCCTTCGGAGGAGGAGCAGAGAGAGAGAGAGGTGCACCAGCTCCGATCGAGTCACGCACCTTTCGATGTTAAGTATCTCTGCGTGTAGCCATAGGGAAGCTCTTATTACAAGATATGCTTGCGAAAAATAGTTAGGAGCGATTTCTGGCTACAGCATTTGAAAAGGTATCTTGAAAATGTAAGAAAACGAACAGTTCCAAAATCTTTCAATCCAGAGCTTTAAAGGATTGGTGCACTTTAACACTCAGGGGTGGAGTCTTTCCGTAAAGGGGCTTAAATAAGTTTCTAAAAAGATCCTTAAACAATTATTTTGACTCTCATTAGACTATGCAACAGCATATAATCGAGCTTAAGTTGATTTTTTTTTAATATTAAAATTTTGAACATTTTGAAGAATTTTAATAGGCATAAGAGGCCCCTTTTTTTATAAAAAACACTCGGTTGTATTAAAACGTGGAACAAGTTATGAAAAACAAATTTTTTTAAACACAAAATCTCTTAAACTATTAACTACCCTTATCAAATGCAACTTTCAACTATCTTTTCTTTGCATTCAGGCAAATTAGAGCAAAATAAATTAACCAAATGTCAAATAATAAAAAATGAAAAAGTGTAAATCTACACACAATATTTCCTCTTTTCGAGCCGCAAATTTATTAAATAAGTTCGGGAACTGTCTTACCGTAGTTAGTTATACACTTGGCCATTGTGGCATTATTTGAGATCCGACCAATTGATCGAAAGTTTTCGAGCATCTTCGTAACTTTAAATAAACTGAATTGCATAGCTACATCCGGAAGGGATTTGTACAGAATACACTTCTGTGTCAACAACTAAAGCTTTGGTTCGGCATTCGCGATGCGGAAATATTCCAATGTTGTGCATATTCAGCCTCTGGCGAGTTGGGCAAATATTTTATAAATGATATGGAACTGGTAAATCAACACGAACATCATCAACAATTGAGCTGGCAAATGTGCCTGGCAGCCATATCAACTGGATTTCAATCAGCAAATCAAACATACAGCTGTTTTTCTGCATCCCCAGGGACTAGAATGTCAGATGGTAAAAACAACAACAAATGGTTGAATTTGGGCAAAAGCTCGTGAGAGGGGAACTTTATTTCGGTTTAGAGCTGTGATTGGGATTAGCGCGTAAAATCGCCGCACTTGAAGCATTTACAATCTGTGGGCTCCCTCAGGCGGATATCCATGGTGGCCATCTCTGGCGAGTTGAGGCGCGTGCCGTCCGGGTCGTAGCAGTGGGTCAGGGTAATGACCTTTTCCTTGAGGAAGCTTTCGCGACAGCAGTAGCACTCCTGGCAAGAGTATAGAGCGTAGATTAGAGCCGGATTTGGAGTTATTTCATACTCACTTTCAGAAACCCCGTCGGAGTTATGACAGACGGTTGCACCTGACTGTTGCAGAGGCCCTCGCATTTATTGACTATGACGTCCGCATTGCAGGTGCGCTGCATGCGACCCAGCTCATCGAACTCCTCCTTGATCAGATGAATCTCGGACTTGAGAGTCTCGCAGTTCTCGTCGCCGGTGCCCTGGCTATAGCGAAGCGCCCTCAAGCCCTGCGGCAGCACCACAGCCACGACCAATAACAGTTCCTGTAGGTGCATCTTGAGGTCTCAGCACTTTACTGTTGACCCTTGCACTAACTGTTTGGGCTTTTATAGAACTCGAGCAGGCTGGCTCGGTGATGCAATTCCATTTGATGGGCTCTCTGATGAAATATATGTGACTTTCTGATGGAATGTTTGTGTTGTTCGCAGCGGTTGGTCCCAGTGGAAAGTCGGTTATGTTGCGGTAGGACTCCGAAATGTAATCATGTGTTGATGTTCTCTTGTTAATTGGTGCTTAAATCGAATGACTCTGTTACAAGTTGTAAATGGGCCGCAATTCTGCGGCAGAGTGAAACACACAAATAACGCGTACAGAGTACCAAGAGTTCATTTCAGTCAACTCTTCGGTTTACTGGGCTTTGACATTCGGAAGGAGTCGCTTCTTTGATATGTACTTAAATTAACTTGTAATCTGTGTATATAAAAGTCTTTGACTGATTGATTGGCATATTGGTGATCAACGCACATCCCTAACTCTAAGAGCTAGGAACTCCTTTGCTGTCATTCCCTTATGTGATGGAGATTCACGCCATGACGCGGTTTTGGTAAATTTCACCCGCAAGAGTGAAATAAAAATCGCGAAAAACGATTGTATGCAATATATATATATATACAAACGATTGTATGAATTATATTCATTACAGAGATATTTCTATCACTTTGGTAAGTGAAATGAAAATTAATTTGAGACGTGTTTCACACTTTTCGCAGCATCCATGCTTTCTCGCTGGAAAATGCGGATTTTTGGGCCAAGTTTTACATTTCGTGCGATCGGCCTTTAACTTATTTTGCAAGAAGGAAAAGAAAGTGAATATGTGTTTTATAATTCCACCTGCAACTGTGGTAAATGTTGAATGAATCTGTAGAGTCCCAATAGGGGTTAAGGAATCAACTGGGCTATCCAATGGCAACCATCAAATTGACGATATTTGTATATGTTAATACGAATAAATCATGTCATTTGTTATGAGGCCGCAGTCAGCTGAAATATTTCAGCTTTAATCAGGAACCGTATGTACTTGATTTGATTTAGCTGGCTTTTCATCGTCTATACAATATGCAAAACTTCCATCTGCGCCCGGGAGGCATGCGAAAGAACGCCCCGAAAAACGCTCCACTCCCCGCACACGTAAACCAATTGTCTCGGTGGAAGTCGAAGTCTGCTTGGCAGTTATCGTCCAGCCCTCTGCCATCTTTGCCTCGCCCGATTTCTGCTAGCCCGGCCCGGCCCGGCCCGAACCGACCCGACCCGGTCTGGCCCGGACCGGGCCGGGCCGTGGAATATGGCTGCGCTTTAGAATTATCGACGCAAACGCAAAAGTCTCAATGGCGCAGTAAATTATGTTTTATTATGCAATAAAGTCAACCATAAAAATGCAGCAATAAATTAAATTAACTACTAAAAATGCTGATTTTATTTTTACCCCGCTCCCTGCAAAAATGGCACGGTTTGTCCTGGGCCAAAAAACATTATGCTTCTGATTCAGACTCGGCTCAGTTCTGTTTTATTCGGTGTATGTCAAAATAGTCTATCTGCTGCGTTTTGTTATCCGCTGTCCTTTGGCATTTAGTATTCTAGCTGAATATTATCCTCTGGGAGATGTCTTGTCTATTTTTCGACGCATGACGAATTAAGAAAAAGTTTGAACTAATCACGCCTACATTTGCTGTGCCCTAAAGTGAAAAAGTTAATTTTGCATACGAATGACAATCACAACAAGAATAGATATCCTACCCATTGAAATGGATAAAAAGGGTATGTTGGTTTATGAAATTAATATGAATATATACCCTACCCATTGGAAATTGGTAAAAATGGTATAATAGTTTTAATGCAATTATATGTAAAAGACAGAAGGCCATATAAAACATGTATTCTTGGTCAGCATCAATAGCCTAGTCGATCTATCCATGTCCGTCTGTACGTATGTATGAACTTCGATCTTATATATATAAATTTTTATATAATTTTTTTCGATAACAATCTATATTGATATTTTTTAAGCATGTATCGGAATTTATAAGAGCTAGAAGTTCAAAATTTGGTATGTAGATTAGATGCAGAATATTTTACTTTTTGGCTACCTCTCCCAGTTCCCACCTAGTCCAAATTGGAAAAATATCCGCACATTTTCAGGTACAGTCTTGGGCTGTGGTATTTAAACACATTTTAGCGCAATATTTATGCCCTAAAAATTACATAAAGATAGAAAAATAATCACTGAAGCAAATCACGAACGTGAGAGTGAGTGAGAGAGAGAGATGGAAAACCCGATCTAAAAGTAAATTGATCTGCAAATGATATTAAAATCAGAACTTAAATTTGCGAAGATAAACGGAACGGATTCTATTATCGAGGTTTTTGATATTGCCAGGATCTAAATATCATTGGTTTCTCAACATTTATGCATCAAATATAAATAGGAATTGTATACTATAAATAATATACCTAAGTAAAAGGATTTTTGTAATCCATCTGAATAATGCTCTTGTTATCTGTATAACTTAAGAGCCACACAGTTCATAAAAAACTCGACAGTATCTAAACTTCAAAGGATAATATGATATACAAAAAAAAATAGATGTCTTACAATAAATGGCTTCCAGGCTTTTCAGCCTGCAGTGGAAGCGGATGCACATGACTGATAAAAGGAACAACAAATGTGCAAAAAAAAAAACACAAAAGCGCAATGTTTTAAATAAATAAATAAATATGACACATAAATACAAAGCGCCTGGCAAAAACAATGGCTTGGCAGCCAGTTTTTCAAATTGTGAGCGAAACAGGGTAACAATAATAAAGGGAACAGAAATTGAAAGCCAGAGCTACAAAGCCAACCGACCGAGCGACAGGCCCGACAGTTAATTCCGCGAAAGAGGAAATTACAATTCATGCCCTTTGGCGGGACTCCATGATTATCGGATCGAATTAGTGTCTGCCCGGACCGGAGACTGGGCCTGGGCCTCAGCCTGGGATCTGGGATCTGGGCCTTGGCCTTTTGTGCTGCTCGCGTATGGCATGAGTGCATTCGTGAGCGTGTGTTAGACTATCTGTGAACTGTCCTGGGGGCACATGTGTACACATTTTTTATTGCCGGCCTTTTCAGCTTGCCCCATTTGAATGAACTTAGCATTTCCATTTGTTCCTGCCTGCTCTTTTGTTTCATTATTTCGCCCTGTTTTTGTTTTTATTGTTTTATTTTCTGCGTGTGGCTTACTCTCTTTGCCGTTAAAAAAATAAACTCTTCTGCTGCTGTCAGGTCCAGAGTTGGCCTTTTCGTATCGCTTTCGCTTTAACTGGTTAAAATAGCAAATGTACGGCTGATTTGTGCATATTCATAAATAATAACACTCACGAATATGTTTACAAACTTGTATCATATTCTTGGTAATGTACACATATTTTCAATCGGAAATTTTACATATTTTTAGACATCTAAATCTGGCTATAATCTATAATATATATTGGCGTAATCTTTTTATAGTAAAGACCTATAAGAACATGTATATTTTGATTGTTAGTTTTCGACAAAATTTGAATATAATGACCACCAAAGCTTGTCACAAAATGTATTTGTTTTATTTATTCCATGACGTTGATTATTTATTATTATAATTCATATTTGATACTTCAACTTTATTCTTTATTTCAATGAGTTCTTGAGTCCGCGGTTTTCTACATGTCCGCTCTGCTCCACATCAGAAATCAGACTATCGATAATCCCTTATTACTAGTAATCAATGTGTCTTATACTTCTTATAGTTCTATCTTATACTACTCTCCTTCTGTCTTTTGATAAGTTGCGCAAAAAGGTTTTAGGCAGGAATTTCGACAACCTTTGATTGAATGATAGCATTAATCTGGTATAATATGTAAATCGAAGGAATAAAATAATATATTTAACATTTTCAAAACAGTCGTTTCACAAAAGGTGACATTTAAGATACAATAAATTTGATTTATATTTTTGTACTTGAAATAATCATATTTAGTATGATGAGATCAAGTTTTAAAATATTACTTTACTAGCTATAAATTGATTGAATTTACTTGAATAAGCCGAAATATTAGTTTCTTTTTCGAAAATAAGAAGCTTAAATTATGAAGCGCATTAATTATTAGTGTGTATTAGCTTGTTTTACCGCCTTCGGCTGGCAGCTGACACGGCTTGACTCATTACGGGGAAGACATGTGTTAATTTATGTAACTTTCCCGAAATGCCATTGTGACGCTCATAAATCATTTCAGTGTGTGTTTCTTGGCCCCGTCTGGGTCAGTGCCTACTCTTTTATGTTATTTTTAGTTAATTGTTTGCGCTGTAAAATGTTTATGCGTTTTGCCAGCAACAACAAAACTCATAACAATAACGACTGCCTGCTTTTGGCCTCTTTGACTAATGTCTGCCGTGTGCACGTTTATTTTCGGGTGATTTATTATGCGCTACGTTTTTGAAAGGGTTTTTCGCTTACTGCTCAATCCATATCAATCATATTGAAATTAATTAAGATTACATAACAAACATAAAAAATATATTTAATTGCGAAAAACTAGTTTTATTACCCTTGTATTGCATAATACTAAAACATTAAATCTAAAATAGGTCGAATAACAATTGCTATACAACTGCAAATATTTATTTTGTTATTTTTTATGGTGGCATTTGGTGAATAAATTTGTTTTTATGAAGTATGCTAAACTTTTGATATGAAATAACTCTCCATCCTCGATTACGTACTTAGATTCGAATAATTAATATTAAATCTTTTGGAAAGTATTTTTCGAGTTTTTACACTTAATTATGAATTTTAGTTAAGATCGAGCTTGGAATATTCAACCATTAAATATGAAAGTCTGTTCAAAAATGAAAGGAGTAAGATCTTTGAGGAAGACATTAAATTGAGAAGTTATTGTCCGTTCTTGGCGAATGACATATTTAATGTAATGTCTCCCTGCAAATGGCTTTTATCTCGTCAGGCCATCATTATGCATTATCCATACATTATTTATGATTTCTTTAACAGCTTTGGCATTGCGAAAGTTATAGACTAGCCAGTTCACAAGATAATTACAGTGCGTAAAGCGGCAAA